GTATGACGTCCGTATGATTCATTGTTGAAGAAAATCATTAAAAACGCGTACAAAAATGTCTATCTACTCTCATAATTTTTCGGCGACTTGTGTTTACCCTTATATTAACGACGCGTACAGATACCGTGCCCAGCCTAAAAATAACAAACTTTTTTATTAAAACACTGAAGTACAAGGTTTCCTTTATTCATATTAGACAAACTTCTACTTTTGACCGTCCGTTCATCTGGTAGTGTTTGAGTAAACTCTTTTTCTGTGAACATGTTTATGTCAACCCGACTCTTCACTAAAACGAGTATATATACTTTCGTGAATATACAGGCACAACAATGTCAAACTCAGACCTGGAGGTTGGTATTCCTACTTCTTGATCAAAAGGGCATTTTTTATTGAATGATTCTAAAAAGGAGGTTGCATGTTTGTTTGCAGAATGAAACTTTTGTCTCCGATAAAGAACCATCTCAACATATTTTATCAGAGGAACCCAATAATGCACATGGAAAAACCTCCGAAGCACAGACCGAATCTTCAAGTACCTGTTTATGGAAATTTTTCGTTGAACAAAGCCTGACACTGCTAAAATAATAATAATAATATCTCATTTACTCCGAAGAAACTTCTCCTGAACACGTTAACGAGAGAATGTCTGAAGCCGAAACAGAATCGTCAACAAGTATCTCATTTACAACGACTAATTTCCTGCTGCTTTAATCTATCATATTATGTCAAAAATAATTTACAAAATTTCAAGACTTAGGAACAAATTTGAGGAGATCAACAAGAAACAGAAAGCCTCCGAAATATTATTCACAGGGGGAAGGTAAAATTGACCTTAAGTTTATAAACGCGACAAATGGTAATAAGTAGTTGAACAAGGATTGTTCATAATCTGTACTAGCATCTATACCTGCACGAAAATCTCGGCGAATGGATCATGATCGAAAAGAAGCAGAAAACATTTCTGACGATGATGTTACATCTGAAACGGATGTCGCTGCTGAACCTACGTTCGAGATACGTAGAAAACGAGGAAGGCCAAGGAAATCTTCAGTAATACACAAAAATTCTAACAAAGTTACAAGAAGATCAAAAAATAAAACATCCAGACGAGATCTACAGAACACACCGGAAGGATCCCAGGATAATTTGACAGATAATATGCAAGACGATGAGGTGGAAGATTCATCGGAATCACAAACTTTAAACAAACGAAGTTCAAAAGCAGGTGGATCACACAAGCTTATGGAGGAAAGTGGTCAAACCATATATGGTGTGTATTCAATTTAAATATATAACAAGAGAATGTCGAACTTTTTGGCACTTATTTATTATTTAATAATGTTTAGACGCAATTTTCGGGTCAAGTTCCTCTTTAGAAACTGTTGCGTTTAACTGGGAGAAGGCCTACAAAAGAGAAAAGAACAACAATCATAGTAGCTCTTTGTTAACATTGATTAATTTCATAATTCGGGTTCGTATAATTTCAGGGATTCATTACTTAAGCTTTTCTAAAATAATGAAAAAACTAAATTAAACTAAACGTGCAATTTATTGATTATAGTCATGTGGATGCACAGATGTTATAGATAAGAAAACTTTTGAAGAGACGGATGATATAACTAATGTTCTCAAAGGATTACAAGATGTCTTTAAGAAGGTGAGATGGAATAATGGCGATTTTTCTATAAAAAAAGGTTTTTTTTTTCAACGTTCAACCTGTCACCTCTTATCAACAGGAACTATTGGCAGATTATCCTTTGATTTCAAAAGCACGAGAATACAAAAAATTTCGCAAGAATTTTTTGGGTTTTTTTTATCGTCTTATATTACATTTGAAATATGACGTGATATACGATGATTTTTTCATGGACACATTACAAGCTTGGGTAGTTCCTATGTCTAGGTAGGAAACGAGAACGTAAATGATGCAGAAATTGGAATTTCATTGCACAACAATAATATATTTTCTCCAACAATAGTTCCTGTTCTCGTCCTTTTCGACACACGGCAACCATGGTGGCTCTTCATTTGTTCAGTTGTATCTGCGAAGTGGCGCATGAAGTTTGCAATGAACTATCCATTGCTTCGCGTCAATTAGAACTTGAGAATAAAAAACCACGATCTACAAAAAATATGGAGAGAATTAATGGTTTACAATTAAAAGCAACAGATTTAAGTCAGAAAAAGAATAAATTGTATTCTCATTTTGACGACCTTTTTGATAGGTAAGTTATGGAACATTAGATTTCTTTTTTCTCTTGTATCACTATATTATACCAAACAAAATATAATGTTTTTCTATAGTGTATTTGTCCATCGTTACCGAGATGTTGAACCAATTATCAGATCAGAATGCATTCACGAATTAGGTATATGGACTGTGAAACATCCGGATCGATTCTTGGATAATACTATTATTAGATATGTTGGTTGGCAATTATCCGATAAGGTGAAATATTTTCTCGGTATCTTATTTGAATGATTCCAAGCTTATTAATTAATTAATTTGTTCAAAAATGATTCTTACATCTGATGTTAGTCGGTCATTGTAAGATTAGAATCCCTAAAGGTTCTCGAACGACTGTACGCAGAAGAAACATTTGTAAGCGGTTTGCGTATTTTTACGGAGAGGTTTAAACCTAGATTGTTGGAAATGGCTATACGGGAATCCGATATTAATGTTCGCATATCCAGTATACACATACTCACACTTATTCATCAAATCGGATTGCTGGATGATGAAGAGCGTGATCAATTGTCTCTTCTCATGTATTGCGACATATATAAAGTACGGAAAGCTGTTGCGCCTTTTATTAAGATATCCCTTGATGATTTTATAAAGGAGAAACGCACAAAAGTTCAAACTCTAATGGTCGGCAGTGGTACCAAGAGAAAACGAAATATTGATATCGGATCCAACAATGAGGCAAATGCCACCAAACAGAGCTGGGTTTCGTTCAAATGTTTAGCCGAGTTTTTTGTGAAATACAACAAAGCCTTAGAGGATGCTCAAAAGGAAGACGAAGCAAGCGATCGAGAGGAAGACGAAATTGATGAGGTGGAATTTGATTACGGAGCCTTAATTCACAGCACAGGTGATATGGATAGTAGTAGAATAGGGTTTGCCGTCCAGGACCTTTGGGCAGATATAGATGTATTAAAGGAATGGCGCAAATTGGCTGATTATCTTTCTAAAGACCATTCATCAACAAGTCAAGGTCCGAGATCACCAAGTAGTGGAAATTCTAGTAATAGTATTGAAGAGTTTTACCGCTTAAGCGAAAAGGAGGAATCCGCTTTGGTGGAGGTTTTTGTAAAGTGCATGCAATTAACTCTATCCGATAGTTCCGCGCAGAAAGATAAAAAAAAGGTTGGTGCTCGTTTCATTTATTGCTAACTTTACCGTGAAGTTTCTTAAGAATATCAAATATTAATCAGACCGAAGGACAGATGGATGAAACACGTGCCGAGATTTCGAGAACAATGATAACTATATTACCTCGGCTCTTGACAAAGTATGCGCCTGATGCGG